GAATCGAGCGAGGAGTCATGGTACATCGACTCAATGTCGACGAGAGCTGTAAGCCAGTGAAACAGAAGCGTCACGCGTTCAACCAAGAAAGGAACGAGATTGTAGCTGAACATGTGGAGGAGCTACTAAAAGCAGGCTTCATTCGGGAAGTACATTATCCCCAGTAGATATCCAACGTAGTGCCACTGGTAAAGAAGCCAAACGACAAATGGAGAATGTGCATCGACTTCACGGACCTAAATAAGGCCTGTCCAAAGGATTCTTTTCCTTTGCCTCAAATAGATCAATTGGTTGATGCCACTGTAGAACATGAAAGATTGAGTTTCATGGATGTCCAACTCCCTTCAATATCCATTAACTTGGTTCCCTACCAACTCTGTTTTCTAAATCCAAAGTTGGATGCCAAGCGACTTTGATAAAACACCTTACCTCGTCTACAAACATACTCTCAAAAGATATCGACAATACACTACCTCGAGAGTAGGGGGCAATAGGTCATGATCGACTCAACGACGCAAACTTGGTAGAACCAGCCCGAGCCGAGCAGGCAGAGCAGGGCTCGGGTCCGACCCATCCGAGCACATCTCTGCTCGGATCCGACCACTGCTCGGCGCCGACCAGGTGCAATGAGGCACAAATCTACATTAATCGACATATTTTGAAAGTAGAATCTACATTAATCGACAAATTTGGAAAGAACAATTAAACAATCTCAACATGGCCAAACCAGAAGCGGGTCGATTGACCTAGCACAGTTACAACATGAGATGGAGTAAAAACGGCAGCGGGTATAAAACCAGTGGCTATGGCCAAAGGGTTAGAAACCTATGAAAATGAAAGCAACAAAGTCAACTCCATCAACGAAACCGAATATGAAGCTCTACTAGTAGGACTAAAAGTGGCCACGTATGTTGGGGTCGGGAACATACTGATACTAAGTGATTTACAGCTGGTTGTAGGTCAGGTGAAAGAGGAGTTCCAGGCTAGAGAACCGTGAATGGCGAAATACCTTTCACAAGTAAAAAACCAGCTCGACCAATTCTCAAAATATGAGATTCGACAAATTCCACGTGCTCAAAACGTCAACGTCGATGCGTTAGCTCGACTAGCTGCAGCTTATGAAACCGACCTAGGCAGAATTGTACCGATCGAGATTCTACCTGAGCTAAGCATAGAAGCTCAGGAAGCAATGGATATCGATAAGCAAGGGCAACCAGAAGAAAACTGGAAGAGCCCTTTGATCAAATATTTGAGAGACGGGATCCTGCCTATTGAAAAGATAGAGGCCCAGCAACTACAACGACGAGCAGCCAAATATGTGCTTAAAGATGACAATCTGTACAAAAGAGGCTACTCGTTGCCGTTTTTAAAATGTCTAACGCCCGACGAAGCTGACTACGTCATGAGAGAGATACATGAGGGTGTTTGTGGGAGTCATTCTGAAGCGCGATCCCTAAGTCACAAAATAGTTCGACAAGGGTACTACTGGCCGACCATGTTGAACGACGCGAAGCGATTCACCAAAAAAATGCGACAAATGTCAACGGTTTGCAATAGTACTTAGACAACCACCAGTGCCTCTAACAAGCATAATGAGTCCTTGGCCCTTTGCTCAGTGGGGAATAGACCTTATAGGGCCTCTCCTACTAGGAAAGTGTCAGACCAAATTTGCAGTAGTGGCAGTCGACTATTTTACTAAATGGGCCGAAGCCAAAGCCCTAGCGAAAATTGCTGAGAAAAAGGTCACCAACTTCATCTGGAAGAACATAATTTGCCGCTTCGGAATACCCTACACAATTATTAGTGATAATGGGAAGCAGTTCGACAATGCTGCCTTTAGAGAATTTTGTAGGGAGTTGGGCATTAAGCACATCTGTTCCTCGCCAGCACATCCGCAGGCTAATGGGTAGGTTGAAGCAGTCAACAAAATCATCAAAAGAACTCTGAAGACCAGATTAGAAAAGCTCCAAGGGTTGTGGGCAGAGGAACTTCTCAACGCATTATGGGCCTACAGAACAATACCTTGTACTTCGACAAGAGAAACGTCATTTTCACTATCATTTGGCTTTGTAGCGGTAGTGCCAGTTGAAATTGGACTCCCCTCCCCAAGGGTAGAGCAGTTCAGTCTACTTGACAACAACAAATCCGTACAGCTAAACCTCGACCTATTAGAAGAACATCGAGAAACGGCACGGCTACGAACGACTGAATACAAAAATCGAATAGCTCGATACTACAACTCGAAGGTTATTGTAACTAAATCTTGGACATGACGATCCTCCTACTAATACAGTATTCGACATTCGACGTGATACTTGAGTTTTTATGTTCATTCTGAAATAAATTTCTCAAGCAGGGGGCATCATATGAATATCTACATATCTACGACCTAAATATCTACATATCTACGACCAATCAAGAAACTCAAAATTGGGACGGACCTAGAAGCAGGCCGATAAGCTAAAAGCCAATCAGTGAAACCAAGGAAAAGAATCCCGAGGTGTTGAAAAGGCATGCGTACAGGCCCAGCAAGGTTAAAACAGAAAACAGGCAAGCCTAACCGATCAAATGTGTTAGAAACCTAAGGGTGCCGACTAAACTCATATTGCAAAAGCCAAAATAGGTGAAAAACCCGAGGGTGTTGATTTAACTTGGGGTAAAAAACCGGCAGAAGCCAAATGTGTTAGAAACCTAAGGGTGCCGACTAAACTCAGGGTATAAAAGCCATTAGCAAAAGCCAAGTGGGTTAGAAACCCGAGAGTAAACTCTGAGGTATAAAACATGGGCAAAAGCCAAATAGGTTAGAAACCCAAAGGTATCGACATTAGTTCTGTTAAAGTTAGATCCCAAGGCCAAAAGTAA